GCGGCTCTTTAGACCCTCTCCAGTGGCTTTGATATTAAATTATCTTGAAATGAATAACAGTTGTTTTTATTTAAATTGTAAAAATGTGTAGCCTTTACATTGAATTAAAAAAGTGTTTTCACATTTCATCAACAAAAATGTGCATCATACGTCGACTACCTGGTGCCTTTTCCTCTAAATTTTGCTGAACCTCAGTAGCGGAAGCTAGCCTGGAGTATCTCTACCAAAGCTAGCTATGGATTATAAAATTTTTGGTTTAAGACTTTAACCAAAAAGTTAAAGTCTTGGAGGAAAATAGAGGATTTAATTATGTGTGGACAGATTCATTTGCTTTCAACACCAAAGCTGCAAAGTTTAAGTACTAAATAATTACACATAGCCCACTGCAGAGTAGCTACATTGTAGTGAATCATATTAATGAACGCTCATTTAGACCTATTCTTCGTGATGTCGATGGGTTAATTTTGACTTAATAGGCTGTTACCTTTATTCAAGTATGTTTTGCAGCTCCAGACCGATTTTCTTTCTTTTTTTCGGCCAATAATGGTTCTTTTAATAGTTAAAGTTGCCGACCCCAGGACTAGCCCAAAAGTACTTTGGCCAACAAAAGCAAAACAAGTAATGCCTCTTGCAACTAATACACAAGCTTAGCAAAGCTCTGCTAACAGAGTAGCTACCCTCATAATATGGCTGAGGTGCTGCGGGCGGCTCCCGGGGATGGGAGGCCTGGAAGCCAAGCGGTTTGCTGGTGGATCTATGGAGTGGAGGATAAAATTGTTTGGATGGTAAAATTTTTTGGTTTGTTGCCAGGGTCTAGCAAGCTAACAATCACGACTATATCCCCTCCACTCCAAAAGTGCAGCTGCAGAGAACCGGTAAGCTACGTTGTGTTGTCTCTGCTGTGTTGTTTATATTATTCTTTGACTCGGGCAAGTAGGCGGGGGTGGTCACCCCATCAGGCAATATCAAGGTCAGCAGATGATCGAGGTTGTGTATTGTAAAGTAAGTCTATAATGTAATTATTGTGACAGGCCTCAAAAAAAACCTCAAAGCTGTTACAATACATCCTCTGGGAGCATCAATTCAAATTTTCATGTCAATCCATTTAATACTTGTATAAATGTTTTTCTAAAAGCAAATATGTCAACCTGCTTGCGGCATTAGAGGAAAAGTCAGTAGATATCACTTTCCACCGAATATCATGGAAATCCATCCAATACTTGTTGAGCTTTGTCAGTTAGCACGGCTTTAAAGCAGTTTACCAACAGCAGTGGATCCAATTTGTTTGCTGTATCAAATTTGACATTCAAATATTTTCCACTCATCCTGGTGGATCTAAAACCAGGCAGATGGGGTCTAAAACCAGGATCAACTCAAGAAATGTTTACACAGACAGCAAAATCACAACCCCGGAAAAATCTGAGTTTCCAACTTGCTTGTTTGTCTCGAAGTTTTTAAGGTTGTCAAAAGCTGCTTGGGTGGTTTTCTTTTTGGATTTTCTTCTTCAATGGTAATCATTATGGTTATCTGTCTATTTGTGTGTTTAAAGCACTGTGACAACAAATGAATTCATAAAGAAAGACAGTTTTAGGTAGAATCAGCTACGGATAGCACTGCTGGTACTTATAGAGATATAATAAATTTGTCAAGAACCTTTACTACTGCTGAAGTTTGATTTAAGGGAAGTGTCTTTATTGTCTGTCACCCTTTTGACTGTAGAGGTGACCCAGCTTTCACAAAACCGGTCAGAAAGCTGATCAGGTAATCCATCTACCATTTCAATCCTTGAAACATCAACTGTTACAAGTGCAAAGTCAGTGAATTAAAAACAATCATATGCTCCATCTGTACAAACGTGCCATTTGTTAGGAGCGAATGTGTGTTAGAGGTACATGTCCTCCGGGAGACTCTTTGTAAGTTTTGTTAGTGTCTGCTACGAGAAATTTATGAAGACAAGAAATCCACAGCAACTTACCTGTTACTGTTGGCTGTATTATCAAGTATATATACTACATATACACACTGGGATTGTGTTAAGAAACAGCTGCTGTTCATCGGGGACTGTTTAATGATTTAGAGAAATGTGACGTTGGAAAGGATGCAATGATCCAGTCGGTAAAAGCAGCAAATAGAAGCACAATAACACTAACGAGTGAGTGATCATGTTTTCCTGTTATGACAGTACTAGCACCCTGTCACTGCAGTATGGAGGCCTCGTGCTCAGCCGAGAGACTGCTGCGTCACCTCCAACTTACAAAAAACTCATGACTCATCACTCTGCTCAGCCTGACTCATAAATATTACAAACGGCAGGCCATCAACCAAACGCAACAAGGAATACTAAAATACCTCCAGAACAATTCCAGAAAACTATGAGCGAGATGAGCACCTGGAAATGTGACAGAGGCTTATCAGGTGACTTAATGAACTTTCTGTTGACTGTAAGGGAGGAACATCAGAGACCGAGGAGACATGACTGACTATATAAGACTTTCTGTAATTAAAGTCACTGTATGCAACATTCAAACCAATATTTGCTTTGTAAAGATTAACTGGAGTCATGGTGTCCCGAGCAAAGAATAAACTCACGCTAACTCCTTGTGTTGTAATCCAAGTTTATCTGTTCCTTGTTGTGGTAGACGATCGGGCCATGCGTGCATGTTCGGGCATGCGAGTCCTTATGTGTGTGTCCCACTGGCTAGCAAAATGCCACCCTACACTGCACTCATACCGCTGTCTTGACCCAAGGTGGCAGGACGGTGTCAACCAGGGTTGCAAATTAGCACCAACCACCAGCCAAATGCTACTAAGATATGCAAGTGGCTGCTAGATGTGCTTCACTTATCTGTCAAAAAAACAATAGTTATCTATTAAGTGGCTGGTGAATTTTGGAATCCACCAGCCACGGTGGCAGATGAACGAAAAAAATAATGTCCAACCCTGTCATCAACACATAAATGAAGTGCTCATCACCCCACACGTTAACACCATTAGCTCTGTCAGCACTGTTGCCGTTGTTAGTGCTGTTTATGGAGTTAGCACCATTAGCTGCTAGCTACCTCCACATTGAAAACCATGTGCAGACAATCCTGCCCCAGACTCTGAATCATCGATATGCCCTGGATGCCACATACAGCTTCTTCAACTTTATGTTAAGCATCATCATCCTCCTAGCCCGTAATGTAAACTATAGTTTACTTTATATTAGGGCTGCCACGATTAGTCGACTAATTGATGACTAATCGACTATTAAAATAATCAGTGACTATTTTAGTAGTTGACTAATCGGTTTGAGTCTTTTTTCATAGAAAAGTACTATAAAAGTACCCCAAAATACTCTTAGTGCAGCTTCTTACGTTCAGATATTGGCAGCTTTACACACTCTCCTGTGACAGTGAACTGAAACCCTTTGGCGTGAGTATCAAACAAGACATTAGATGACATAATTTTGGGGTTTGGGCGAGACAGACCGACATTTTTCAACATTTTAACACATTTTTCGATGAAATGATTAGTCGACTAATCGAAGAAATAATCGACAGATTAGTCGACAATGAAAATAATCGTTAGTGGCAGCCCTACTTTATATTGATCATTTCACATCATCACTAATGTGTGGCTTTTGTCTTAAGTGGGAAACATTACAATACGTATTTTCTCCCGGTACAAAGGATTCTAGGAGTTTAATGCCCAATTTGTACTGTTTGATTTGTAACTTTCGAATTTTATTTCCCTTTGTTTTATTTTTCCTCTGCACACACTATTTTTCTCAGCGCTAAACATTTTGTTTTGTAAACAGAAAGGCATACTCATCTACTGCAGAGATATGAACACACCTCTGGTCTACTGGTAATGGGAAAGGAGTCTATCGCCTATTTTAAGTGGGTTTTCACACATGTAAAAACCCCATATACACTACTTTTGGTGGAAAAGAGGTATTTGTCTCTTAGTGTACTTCACAGGGTCATTAAAGAGAAATCATTGTGGGCAGACACATCTCTGTTCCACTGTGAGTTTTCAAGTGTGATCTAAAAAGAAAAGGTCTGATGACAGGGTGAGAAGTAAACAGTGCACATGGTAGCAAACATGGAGCGATTCCAGGCACATCCAGATGTTTCTTGGGACTGAAAACAAGAATGTTTCCTGTGCTGCAGGAAGCCACATTTGGAAACAAGTCACCAGATTATACAATTTAACTTAAGCATTACTGAAGGGATCAACAGCCAAGCCACAATCTGCTTAGAGATCTCTCTTTCCCTCACACAGGTTATTTTAAACACGAATGTGGATACTTGCGAGAGACTGTTCCTAACAAATGACCAAAGAGTTTATAGCAACAGAATATTTTAACTTCAGTGTGATAAACTACTATGATTTTAAGTTTTGATGGTTTCAGACCAAATGTGCAATAGTGAGAGAAACACAGATCCAACAAAGCAGCTAACCAAGGTCGTGCAGACTACATCAGAATGTAAACAGTAACAATAAATATATATATATAATACTGAACTTTGGGAATCAGACAAGCACAAATACACATTTCCTCTCCTCTTCTGTAGAGTAACATTTCTTAGACCTGCATCCTCCTGATGGCAGGTGTCTGGACAGTGCAGCCTTTCTCTCTGTTGAAAATAATGGCCTTGCTCTGCACAATATTGAACTTGCACTTTAGGTGTGACTCTGTTAGAGTTGGTTCAATACTCTCCAGCCAACACAGTCTTACTGGTGTCTTCTATTACAGGATCCTCCATTCATGCGTGTAAACATAGAAACAGAACACACTTACACCAGGATCTGAGGTCCAGCTGTGTTATGTATTAAAGGCCTTGTGAATGTCCAAAATTTACACCCCAGATTGAAGCTAAAAAAAATATCATGTATTATTTAGTATCAAAGCTGCTGTGAGTATAAAGGTTATTTTAAATGACCTACTTTTCTAATGTGCGCATGTGCGTGTGTGTGTGTGTGTGTGTGTGTGTGTGTGTGTGTACAATACAAACCTGCTGCTTGTCCTTCTTGTGTATTTTCATCTTCTATCCCTTCACTACATCTGTGAACACAAAAGGACATTATTCATATTACTTCCAGAAATACACACTGAGCAAACAACAGTGAAAACTTACTGTGACATCCAACCATGTAGCTGCGAGTAAAGTTTTGTAAAGCTGAGCGCTAAAAAGAAACGAAGGCGATGCAACCAATTCAAACACACTGGACCGACTTCATTTTAAACCAGCCCAGGGAATACAGAAATCCCACCAGTGGAATTATGCTTCCCTTCTACTGAAAGTCAGCATCTTTTGAATTTATTCACAACAGTTAACCTTTCTAACCCATATTAGGAGACCGTTTGCTCACCAAAATGTTTTCTAGCAGTAACTTTTTTCAAATTCCAGTTACACATACTAACTCCTGGAAGCATCCAAGACCTACAGACATCAGCCGTCGCTCAATGAGAGGCTGTTAAACAAGTTTTTGCTAAAGGACACTTAACAGTGTAGCTGTAGACGAGGGCCCTATCTTATACCTGGCAAAAATGGTACACATGTTCCACTCATGTCCATGTGCAGCAATCAAAGTCACACTTCCATGACCCAGAAGGAGCAGGGAGATGAAAACAATCTTATTTCACCTGCCGCTCTCTCAAAACACAAATGATCAGAAGAAACAGATGTCAGTTCTAGTTAATAACCAATACATACGGTAACATATTAACAGTAGATATATATATATATATACAAAAAATAAGTGTGCAAATTTGTTGATGTGCTTGCGCCCATGGCCATGTAGGTCTTAAAATGAGGTGTGGTCAAGCAAATTCTTGGCAGCAGAAAGCAACTGCGCCATTGACCCCAGAAACCTGGTCTAAAGTCAGAATGGTGCAGCGTTTTCCTGCTATTTAAAGGGCGCATTATTCAGAGAGTAAGACCCACCTTAACACTGGCAGCTTCACAACACATGTACACCCTGGTTGTTACACACAGGGATGCACAAATGGGTTGCAAGTGGGTGAAATGGTCATTACTAAGGAAAACCTTAATTCCATTTTCTAAAATGTGAACATAGCAGAGCGCAGAGCAGAGCTGCCATCCAACAATGAGCAGCGTAACTTTATCTATTACTTCATAAGCTAAAAGTTCAGTTCTGTTTCCTCTGTCAAGTTTATCACCACAGTTTTTATCTTTGCTGCGTAAATGTCTCTCAACATTTGCTGAAGTGACATTACTGCTCTTACTTTATTACTCAGCAGAAAACCGCTCACTTCTGCAATTTGCCAAATACACATTTTAACAGCAGTGTGCCATGTGCACATTGACCTGGCTTTTGAGAGGAATGGGAGATGACCCTCTGAGTACTGTACTGTGGAACTTATGTTACCTACCTCGGATTAATTACTGGACTAAACAAAACCCCTTCGCCCCTTTGCGCCTTACTCTGCACCCAAATTATGCACCTTAAAACTAGCAACGCTGCTTGGTTTTAACTGTGTTGTATTTATTTTAGGCTTCTCGGTTATTCAGTTATTTATTATAGGTCTACCTTGATGTTATTTACACTGTACGCTGCTGGACCTGAGTAACGAATTTCATTCCCTCATGTTCTTTAACTTGTTTGAATGATGACAAACTGAACCTGGAACCTTGAAAAGTATTTAGACACACTCTAAATAAATTTGTGCCATGCACTACAGACATTATAGAGGAGGTAGATCAGAAAGCGTTTTCAGTGTTCTGCTTTTGCTTCAGTGTTGACAGAGAACTTTTACGACATGTTCAGACAGCAAGTTAATAATGTTTAAATTTTGGGATTTGTGAGAAACACACACGCACGCGAGTCAAGTCCATACAATATATACACTAACAGTTCAAAAATTTGCTTTGTATTCAGTTTGATATCATCTGTTGACACTCAGTGTTGTTTTACTAAAACGCACCAATGTGACACTGTGTTTACATTAAGAAAATTAGACATTATGTGAATTCTTTTTTTGTACTCAATTCTGCACTTATTTGCATGTAGCAGTTTCATCAGGAAGGAAATCACTTTCTCACAGACATGGCGAGTGTTTTAAATGTGCTTTACCCTTGACAAAAGCAGCAAATGATCACTTGTGCTTTATCAATATGGGCGCAATCAGTCTGGTATCTTCAGCTGTTTCTGATTCCCATCCTGAGTGAGGAAACTAAGAGTGGAGAGTGGTCCAATAACATCCTTCTACACAATGGCAATCTGGCAACCAGATCTCGAAACAACAAAAGCAAGAATATACAGTACACATCAGCCTGCTGGAAACTTTCCACCAAAAAAAAAAAAAAAGAATCAAAAGAAATTTGTAATGTTAACGAACTGGCACCAGAGCACAAGACAACACTGAAACGGCACAATTTCACTTTTAAGTATTGAATGCGTTCCCAAAATCTACAAGTTATCTGATGACTAATGATCACTGGACAGCCTTGATGCCCACAGCAGGGATCAGTACAGAAAGAGATTCAGGACTGCAGTCATATAGTGAGAGCCAAGGTAACTTCTTTTGGCTGCACTGTGTGCTGCTGAAATACGACAGTACAGTGCATCTGTGTTTCTTAACTGAATACCCGAATGAGACTCACATGATCTACCAGTGTTTTTACCCCCATGTCAGATAAAGAGAGAATAATTACCAACTCTAATGCAGGACAGAAGAGGGATAAATTATTCTACAAGAGTTACAACTTTAGGTCTCACTGCAGTTTCAGTGGAAACGCTTCTGGGGTTGGTTTAGGAGAAATTTTGAAACAGAATAATTGCAGAATCACCTGAACAGAAGATTCTCACACAGCTCCACGCTGCATCTGAGAAGCTTTTAGAAACGTAGGTACAGTGGCAGTGCTGCTGGTGGGGTTGGTTTCATGCAGGGATATGGAGGTGGACGGGACCAAAGCCAATAGATTTCATTCAACTCCATGCCTCTCGAGAAAATTACTGGAACTCATTCAAAAACTCCACATCCAAAAGTTTCTCTCTCTTCAATATTGCCTCTCCATAACAGAAACATCACGCACACAGAATAAAAGAAAAGATTTGGATGGCTCTGTTTCCACAAAACCTATTTATTCCTGAGACACACTCAGTGGTTCATTCTCTTTTCTTGTTGTTGGCATGTAAACATCATCCATTTCTCCCGTTTCTCTCACCATCACTCTTCTTGAGCTCTTATCCCACGAGTTTAGTGTTACATAACATGAGTTTCATTCATACTGTTAAGCCATCTATCTTGTGCTGGTGGGTTCTGCCTTGTAACATCTCTGCTGAATGGTCTTTTTCCCAAGCGCCAACATCCAGGGCTAAAAAATTAAGCCAATGCCACAAACTGAAGTTCCTTGAATGGCCACTTGAGGTTGGCTCCAAAAGCAACTCTGTCTCCATAAACACCCACATTACAATCCCCAGCTTCACAGCAGAAATAAACATGTTTACAGCTTGCTACAAAAAAAAAATCAGTTTTGGTCTCTATAGCTAATTTCCCCCTTCATGGCAATGGTACAGGAATTAATTTTTAGCCATTTAAATGTTCTTGAGGCTGCTTTGAGTGACGGGTGGGTGCCATAGGGTTAGGGTTGCTACCACAGCAACAATGTTGGTTAGGCAATGTAACCACCATATAGACCCAGATGCACAAGAGTATAGGTGTAGCCATAGCTGTCACTATTTCAGTGTGTTTTCATTTCAAGAAAGTTAATTGTAAGATTTTCATCTAAAAAAGTCTTGTTTGGCATTTAGTTGCACTAATGGTGCGTTCGTTTTGTACTCGGAGGTCGGAAATTCCCAGTTCCCAGTCGTAAGTTTAAACTCGAACGCACCCTGAGATCAGATTTCCAACTCGGAAACTCGGAGCAACTGCATCAACCCCGACTTACAAATTCAAGATGGCTGCCAGTCACATACACAGTGAGTAAACACTCTGCTAAAGTAGTGTTTATAGCAATTCTATCTTATTTGTTTTACATTAGGTCAGCCTCATCTGCGGCTTTCATCAGTTGAAGTGCATGACGGTTTTGAAGCTGTCTATATACTCCGAAAGTGCAAGGGCAACAAAGGCTTTCTTGCGGGCGTCCATGTTTTTTCCGACTTATCCACCGTCATCAACTAGAATGCAAAAACTGTTGTCAACTCAGAGGTGACGTCCTCCCCACTTCCTACTTCCGACCTCCGAGTACAAAACGAACGCACCATAAAGCCTGTTGTCCCCAAAGAGCTTTTTCCCAGCTGAAAACACCAGGTGCTCCTCAAGAAATGCCCAGTAGCAGCTTATTGTTGTTTCACATATGAGCTTAAATTACTGCACCTAGTTTAGTAGCTAGGTAGCCAAAACATCAATAAACCTCATTAAGGCTCCTACAATTAGCATTATCACAGTTCAGCATGGCTGTAAATGCACCATGCTTTCCAAGCTAGCAGCTAGCGTTGGGGTTAGCTCCACGCTGGCTTCAAAAATCTAAGACAGCAACAGCCTTAACCCTATGGGCCCTAGGCGTTTCTTGGGGGTATTTTTACTGCCTTTACTTTTAAGCTCATATCACAGTCATTATAAAGGCTACATACACATGCTATATCTTGTTTTTTTTTCAGGACAATGTGGCCTATCCAGATTTGCCATCATTCCATGTCCTTCTATATGCCTGTATTTTATATTAATTTTTATATCAATGAAAAAAAAAAACAAATCTGTGTTACTAAATTCTTACATTTTTACATGTATCTCACCATAGCAAGTTGGAAAATAACATATTCTGCCATATATGAAGAGAGGAGACTCTCTGGAATCTGGCAATATAAGAACCATGATGCTGGGACATTCTGTCACTTCACAGCTGTCCAAAACATGTGGTTTGTGCCAGACGGACATGATTGACATTATTTTTCATTATTGCAAGAAATTCCATTGACTCATTCACAAGTCAAAAATGTGTTTTATCCGAAAGAAACATGCAATATTTACATCTAAAAATCACAGAAAAATAGTCACCCAAGTGCAATGATGTCCTCCAAGATAATATTTGCCACTTT